TAATTAATGAAGAATTAAATCAGCCCCGAAATTGGTCTTTTCCTTCAACATAGAGGGTAGCAGGTCAGTTTTTTTTTTCTCATTTTTGATAATTAATACATTTTTACACTTTATTGTGCAAATCTCTATAAAATATATTTCATAACATTTATTACAAAGGTATTATAATCTATTTTTCTAAATAAATTAGGTATATGATTTGAAACTTGATGTTTAAACGTGAGATTCGTTATTTTGTAAAATTATAATATATTGACAAAAAAGTGTAAAGTGTTCACATTAGAGCAAAAAAACGGTAAGATAATTATCTGCTTGGGTTTTGTTGTTCTTCGGCGGTAAGGATTAATTCTTCAGTGAGGACAGTTGTTGGCAGAGCGGCCCATGCTCTTTTAAAGAAATAACAACTGCCCTCATTCAAGTGTTAATGATTTAATCATGAGAAGATGAAATAACTTTTTAGTGAGGGTAATCTGCGGACTTTTTCAAGGCCCCACGGGTCACCAGTCGCAATTACCTTCTCGCTAAGAAATTAATCATTCTTAAATCGAGAAATATTTTGAGTGAAAAATAATGTTACATAACCTTTTTTTGTATAAAAGTAGTTAGGCTTGCTTTGAAAGGAAGCTTGGCCTCTTTGTTACATGGCTGCTTCAATGAATCCCTCTTCCGAGAGGTTTAAGCAGTTTGCTGCAAATTAGGCATCGGTATTTATTACTTTTTTCATCAAAAACGTATCTTTTGCTAAATCGTTCTGCTGAATTTTCCTTCTCTTCTTTTTGTCGAGCCTCATCGTTAATGTGTTTACGAAAATGTTGAACTATTTTTGTGCTCTGATAGACCCCGCTACATTTCAAACAGACACTATGATTTTTTTTACTGCTCGGCCCAAAAAATTTTAAAACTTCTTCTCGGGACGATCAGCCTGATTTTCGCGAATCCGTTTTTTGTTGCGGTTCATTGTAAAAATTATTAGAAATTGGCTTGTTTATTCCAGAAGGCTTTCTATAAGCAGCTTCTGAATCTCAAATTTTTTCAGAGTGGGGGGGTTTTTCATTATAATCGCCCGCACTCGTTGGTTTTAGAAGGACGCTCTTTTCCTGTTTCTCGGCTAGTTGCAACTGGTCCTCTAACTGTCTAATATAATTACCATTATCCCTTAATTTAATTTTTAGCCCATTTATAGTTTCGATCAGACTTTCAATAATAATGTCTTTATTAATGTTGTTTAATTCCTTATCTTGTGTGTATATCATATATATTAATATTTTAACCTTTAGCTCTAGTTCAACTAACACCTCACTATATAATTATTTTATATTTATATTATTTAGACTGTTTCTTAGTGTCTTAATGCTCTTTGCTTTAAGCTCTTAATAATATTTACTACACTTAAACTCTTTTCTTAAAGCACGCCAGTGCTAAGCCCTCATTATCTAAATAAACTTCGCTGTATATCTTTCCTAATACCTTCCAAAATTTCAGACCAA